TCAGATAGAGCCCTAATATCCAGAGTATACAAAGAACTCAAAAAATTAAACAATAAGAAAACAAATAACCCAATCAACAAATGGGCCAAAGACCTGAACAGACACTTCTCAGAGGAGGACATACAATCAATCAACAAGTACATGAAAAAATGCTCACCATCTCTAGCAGTCAGAGAAATGCAAATCAAAACCACCCTAAGATACCATCTCACTCCAATAAGATTGGCAGCCACTATGAAGTCAAACAACAACAAGTGCTGGAGAGGATGTGGGGAAAAGGGTACTCTTGTACATTGCTGGTGGGACTGCAAACTGGTGCGGCCAATCTGGAAAGCAGTATGGAGATTCCTGGGAAAGCTGGGAATGGAACCACCATTTGACCCAGCTATTGCCCTTCTTGGACTTTTCCCTGAAGACCTTAAAAGAGAGTACTACAGGGATACTGCTACATCGATGTTCATAGCAGCACAATTCACAATTGCTAGACTGTGGAACCAACCCAGATGCCCTTCAATAGATGAATGGATAAAAAAAATGTGGCATTTATACACCATGGAGTATTACGCAGCACTAAAAAATGACAAAATCATAGAATTTGCAGGGAAATGGATGGCACTAGAGCAGATTATGCTTAGTGAAGCTAGCCAATCCCTAAAAAACAAATACCAAATGTCTTCTTTGATATAATGAGAGCAACTAAGAACAGAGCAGGGAGGAAGAGCAGGAAGAAAAGATTAACATTAAACAGATAGATGAGGTGGGATGGAAAGGGAGAGAAAAGGGAATTTGCATGGTAATGGAGGGAGACCCTCATTGTTATACAAAATTACATATAAGAGGTTGTGAGGGGAATGGGAAAATAAACAAGGAGAGATATGAATTACAGTGGATGGGGTAGAGAGAGAAGATGGGAGGGGAGGGAGGGGGGATGGTAGAGGATAGGAAAGGTAGCAGAATACAACAGTTACTAATAGGGCATTATGTAAAAATGTGGATGTGTAACCGATGTGATTCTGCAATCTGTATTTGGGGTAAAATTGGGAGTTCATAACCAACTTGAATCCAATGTATGAAATATGATATGTCAAGAGCTTTATAATGTTTTTAACAACCAATAAAAAAAATTAAAAAAAAAATTTGAAAAGCAAATCACAGAAAATTTTGTGTAATGTGACTACACTTGTTTACAATTAAAGCGTTTGTCTACTGACAAGATCCAGAAGCAAGGGCACTTCAGCAGCAATGAGCACACCTAATGCCTGATACACCTGGGTTTTTACACCACTCTATTAAATGGAACTAAAGCTCTTAGGAGAAATGGCTAGGGCAAGGAAAACATAAGCTAAAGTCTTGATTTTGTGCCAGAAAGAAAAGAAATCCTCAAAGAACCATAGGGACATTTCAAAAGGACATACAATCCAGCTGAAAGGGCTCCCCCTGGCCAAATCTGAGACAATTAGAGCAACAAATGAGTAATGGGAGTAACAGTCTATAATCCATTGAATAAAGCAAGAATTCTTAAATCCAGGGATGCAAATCAAGAACTAAATAATAATAATAAAAAAAAGAACTAAATAAGATAGAAAAGTTCCATTCAGTACAATTCCAACTAATAAATGTAGAAGAAAATATGGAATTAGAAAATCACCATCTGTCAACAATCGTAAAAAATGATTCAAACAAGAAGCATCAATGGGTTCTAAAACTAGTAGGTAAAAATATGAGTAATAGTATACTAACATAGTCTCAAATTCTCTCCCTATGAGATACATATTGATTACAACAGGAAAAATGAAAAGTTTTCAATGAGGCAGACACCATCTGAGTCAAATGATCAGAGTTAACAAGGCCAGTGAATGGGATCACGGACAGCATTATCCTAACCGGACACGCTAACAAGACAGCAGCATCAAGCCTGCGCTGTTCCTGCCAGAACTGCATAACCTGAATCTAATCATGAGAAAACCACAGGAAATCCAAATTGAGCAGCATTATCTAGAAAACAGTCAGTAGTCTCCAAATATGTCAACGATATGAAATACAGACTCAGGAACTTCTTCAGACTAAATGAGTTGATAGAGACAAAATAATTTAATGCAATAAATGAGCTAGGATTTTCTTTTGCTATAAAGGACATTTTGGGGGGCAACTGGTAAGATCTGAATAAAACCTGTATATTAAATAATCGCATTCTATCAATGTGATTTTTAATAATTTCACTGCTGTTATGTAAGAGAATCTCTGTCCTTGTTTTCAGGAAATACACAATAAAGTATTTAGAGGTAAAAGGGCATTAGGTCTGCAACTTACTATTAAACAGTTTGTAAAAAAGTCATACATGGGGGCTAGGGCTGTAGTTCAGTGGTAGAGTGCTTGATAGCAAGGTGAAGCACTGGGCTTGATCCTCAGCACCACATAAAAAATAAATAAGTAAAATAAAGTTATTAAAAAAATTTCAAAAAGAAATCCATGAATATGAGAGAAAGACAAAAGACACAGCAAAATGCCAACATTAGGAGAATCTGGATGAAGGGTACCTAAGAATTCTCATTATTCTTGCAACTTTTCTGAGTGTGCAATCATCAAAATTCAAAAAATAATTTAAGAGAGTAAGGTGTGTATATGCATAGAAATATAGGGGATTTCCTGGGGATTAGGTTCATGGTGACATCTTCCTTAAAAGCACAAAAAATCAGAAAATAATGAAGTAAGCTTGCATAGGGGTTAATACTTATCTCTCCAAAATATGCTCTGCACAATGAAAAAAAAAGCTGTTTTTAAAGATCTTTCAAGACCAGCTCATTAATCATGTTCTACAAAAGAAGCACCAACATAATCAAGCCTTCTTCACCACAGATCTGTGCTATTTTTTTTTTCCTCTGAAAGTCAAAGCTTCCTGATACTATGAGTAGTTGAAGATGCTGTGGGGACTTTTCTGGAATATGTAAGCTAAAAAGGAGTTTTTCATTAAAAAGCAAACAGGATAAAACAGACTTGGTAGAATTCTTGAGATGCTAAGCCAAGGGGTAGGAATGGGGGTTAGCTGGTTGCAGTCTACTCTAAGAAGGCTCCCAGGTAGGCAGCTGGCTAAAAGGACTCGTGGGGTCCATAGTTCTCTATCATATACATCCCAATTCTCTGGTGTCCTACTGCTTACAAAAAGCTCTCATGGGTATAATTTATTTCACCATTTCCTTAAAGTGACTTTTTTTTTTAAAACTCCAATATTTATTTACCAGCAATACTACAAAATAGCCAGTTTCCAAAACAATAGTATTAACTATAATCTAAGACGTCGGCACTGCACACTCCATCTACTTGGGGACAGAGTTTAACCTGAGCAAATAAATACCCTGAGATGGAAGATACCAAATGAAAAGGAGCTAGAAAGGTAAAGTAGGAAGGTAAGTACAATAAATTATATTGCAGAGCTCAGCATAAACACTGCCCTCCTTTCTCTTTGAATCTGACCAGAATCCATTCCTCTAAGCCCTGTCTTTGAGTCAGACCCTCCCAGTAACTTTGGCTCATTGCTACAGAACATATTTACAAGACACTACAGGGAACAAGGCCTTGGGAGGCTCTGTTCACATGCAACACCACCCTGAGAACAGCATCATTCATGGTCTCCGACACCAATACTCCCACAGAACCGCCATACTGACCTCCCCATGTGGGCACTATTTTTCACTTTCCTTAAAGAAATCAATGAATTGAATCTTCCAGGAGTAAATATTTCAGGGAAAAAAAAAAAAAAAACAACCAAAGGCCCTAATCTATATCCAAAGACAAACTCCCTGTTAAAAAAAAAAAAAAAAAAAAAAGGCTGTTTGCAACCAAAGAAAAATTAGGATTAATTCTAGGACAACCAACAACTAATCTATGTGCATTGACCAATACCAAAAGAATCCAGGTTTAAAAACAAACTCAGTAAGAGATTCTGTTTTCACCTTTTAGAGACGAGAACACCAAGATACAGAGTTAGCTAGTAGCAGAACCAGAATTCACACCCAGATCACCTGCTCTGTCCCCATCCCCCACTTGTGTCCCCGCAGTCCACACAATCCACTTGAACAGGGGATGAACCAAGCATAATTTCACTGCAACATCCTAACTGCCAAATCACCCCCCATTCCCTTGTTTTAGATGTCCTAATGGGCAGGTGACAAATCACATTCTATCCCTCCCCAGCCTCCCAACACAAAACACATTCAGAGGCAAAGCAAAAGACAAGATGATGAGCTTTACAACCGCCTATACTTCCTTCTTACCCAGAGGAATATGTTCATGAGCTGTCAACTGGGGCAGGAGGAACCCATCATTATGTAATGTCAGAGGGCAGGCAACAAGGGGCAGGGAAGCCGAGCCTATCAATGCTCCCGTCCTTTGCCCACAAAGATATAAATTTACCTTTGACAATGTGAGTGTCTCAGTTTTCTAGGGCCTACACGTTCAAGACTGGCTTTTCAAAAGACAGCCACAAATTCCTGCAAATCTCTCAGGCCTCAATTAACTGACTAGCAAAGCCAGAAAGGCATAAAATATGAAAAGCAAAGATTAGAGATGTCGAGGACTACAAGTCTGCAGAAAAGGGAGGAGGAGTTGCAAGGATGGAGACCCAATTTCCCACCCTGAGATGCATGTTTATTTTTACCCGGTAATGTTTACACCCGAAACACAGCGAGGCCTTCAGCGTGGGGAGTCACTGGATGCGGCCCCAAGGCGAACGAGGCAGGCGCCGCGACACCGGCACGGTGCGCCGCATCCTGCATCCCCAAGCTCCCAGCCGACCCTCCGGAGCCAGGGTCGCCCCTGCTCGGATTGTTCTCAAAAGACGCCACCGCTGGCGAACCGCTAGGCTGTGCGATTTCCATGACAACCACGGGCGCCGTCCGGGTCCGGCTGTCCAGGTACCGGGACTGGACCCCGCGCCCGTTGCCCAGCCCCGGCCTCGGCCCCGCAGACGCCGCGTCGCCCCGGGTCCCGCCCGGCTCACCTACCTGGCGTGCCCCGGCCCGCGGCGCCCGCCGCCCAGCTATGCCCGGTTCTCCGTCAGCCGGGCGCGCGCCCGGCCCCGCTGCAACAGTAGCGGCACCGCCTGACTGAAGTGGCAGGTTTCGAGCCCCACCTCAGCTGCGTATCCCCCTGCCCGCGTCCGCGGCGCCCGCCCCAGCCGCGAAACTGCTGCCCGCGCGCAGCCCAAGCCCGCCGCCGGCGCCGGCACCACCGTAGCTCCGGACGCCGAGCGCGGCCCCGCCCCGGCCCCGCCCCGGGCCCGCCCCCGGCCGCGCAGGCGCACCGCAAGCCTCAGCCGGCCAAAGCCCCGCCCCTGGCTGCTCCAGGCTTCACAGATCTCACCCTCCTCTGTACCCGCGTCGCCTGCGAGGAGTTCTTCAACTTCCGGACCCACAGATGGCGTTTTTACCCTCAGCGACACTGAGGCTTTTGAGGCCTGACACGTCGCCGAGGAGTAGGTTCCTGAGAGGAGCCGCGACCCGGCGACGTGCTCAGGCGATTAGCGCGCTCCCGAGGTGCAGATGTGGTGGCTCCCTCTGAGACGTTTAGCAACGTGAACGGTCCAATCAGAAACGTGCAAAAAATAAATAAAATAAAAATCACAGTTCTTGGAAAATACAGATTTGCAAAAAGAAGAGGTTGCTGATATTTGAGTGTGTGTCCTTCCGGACCTGCCTGGCATATGTGCATAAATGTGCATTTATAGACCCCCAACTGATATCAGTTTCTTCTTCCACGAAATTCTTTTTTCCATAGGAAAACAAAATAGAGCTGTAAAAAGTTTGGGAAGAAATGTTTCACTTTGATACGACTTTAAATCTTAACATTTCTGTTTGAGCAAGGTAAATACTGGACTGAACATAAACAGTTAATTTCTCCTGGAGTCTTTACATTTTTGTTTTGTTTTCCCTCCCCTGATTACTTGAGTCATTACATTTTATCAGGGGGAAAAAAATATTTCTCCTTAAAAACTGTTAAATGAAAACTAATTTTTTTAAATTTTATTTTAGTTGCTGATGGACCTTTTTAAAAATTATTTATTTTATAAGTGGTGCATGAGATTCAAATCCAGTGGCTCACCCATGCTGGGCAAGCACTCTACCACTGGTCCACAACCCCAGCCCCATTTTAATTCAATAAACCAAAATACTTTGCAGTCAGTGTTCACATCTCAGGTATAAAAACAAGTAAGCATTGATAATTTGCCTCAAAAATGAAAGATATTACTCTGTTAGAAATTAAACAAGAATTCTCTGAAATCATTTAGATTTAGGTCTGATCCTCCCCATGCAACCAAAATTCAAATGCATATGATACTCTGCAACAAAAATAAATAAACATAAAACTAACTTTGAATCTTTCTTTTTCAATGTTTTATTTTATTTCTCTTCTGAAATATAACCCACTAACAAAATACTTACCTTTTGTTATTCTAATAAACAGAAGGAAATACTGACAGAACTTTGACCCTAGTACAAAATTAAAGCCAAGAGAATCTAAGGAGCTGGTAGAAATATTTTTTTTCATATTTCATTTTGTAAAATTAGTGTGACCAATATACCTGGTTTTCCTGGGCCAGCCTCAGTTTGTATCTTTTTTTCCAGTAATAATTTTACTGGAAATGCTCCTTTTCACTCTCAAAAGTATTCCAGTTGAAGCATTTTATGGTCAGGCTATTTATAATTCAGTTAAGAGAGTTTTAAATTCAGAAATTTTAAAAAGAAGAAAGAACCTAATTTAAATTCACATTTAAAAATAGAAATCAGTCTAATGTCAACATTCATTCACTTAGCAGAGTAACAAACTCTGAATGAAAATCAGTCTTCCAATAATATTTGTCACTTAATTGTTGTGTAATTCCGAATAACCTTAAAAGATCAGTTGTGTTTCTGGTGTGACATTTCCACTGTAGAATGAACTTATCAAAGGAAAGGGAGCCAAGTATGTTAGTTAAGTGCATTAACAAGATGGATAATGAGCAGTGTGCTGGTGGCACAGTATCTCAGTCCTTCAGAAGTTCTCAGCATGGGTGCCCAACCAGTCCTTAGTATTCTCTAGGAGTTTGCTGGAAATGCAAAGTTCCAGACCCCACCCCAGAGCTGTTGAATCAGAATCTCTGAAAGTGGGGCAATCTGTATTTTAATGCAGATTGGGGCAATACTTTCGAGGAGATCTGATGAGCATATGGACCACGGGTACACTCACACACACCATGGGTAAGCTGAGTTAGGTGATCTATATACAATAACTAAGAGCTGAGCAGTGTGATCTGCAGGACTAGGACTGAAGGGAAAGCGAGGAATGAGACACGACACGGGTAAACGAGAAATGACAGACCAGGCAGAGATACACACGAGAGTTCATTTGTCAGAGCTGACAAAGGCCATCTCTCTACAGGAGAGAGAGGCAAAACAGGCTTGGGTTCTGGGATTTTTATAGGGCACACTCAGGAATCAGAGCCAGGCATGTCCTAATGCGGATGGTTAAGGCTTGGGTTGGTATGAGGGAGTGGTGAGCCTTTCTCAGAAAGGCCCTTGGGCAGGAAAGCAAAACTTTTTCCTTAAAATGGCGGCTGTCACTTAAGATGGCAGTCCAGATGCTAATCAAGGGCCTTATAAGGACCATCCTACAAGAGAGTTCCTCTTCAGCACTGAAACATGATGTTTATATGTACATATGGTTTCATTAGACTTTGAACAAGCAATATACAAAGGCTAAGGAAAAGCTATAAATTGCCTGCCTGACAATTGAAGGAATGCACACAGAGCCCCCCCATTTAAACACAGGAAGAGGAAATCTTTGATTCCAGCATTTGAGGAAATGTTTGCCTGATCATTTGTGAACAATTGATCTGACGAGCAAAGACTACAAATGACTACAGTGACATATCAGTGGGTACAGATGATAAAGAATATAGATTTCACAGAATTAGCTCAAGGGAGTCACTAAACAAGCAAAAAACAACAAGAACAAACAGTAACAACACATCCTGGGAAAGAAGAATAAATATGATTTCCAGAGTTACCACAGCATAATATTTAAAATGTCTGTTTTTTAAAATAAAAATAAATAAATAAGTTATAAGGCACATATACAGGAAAGGACACAGGCTTAATGGTAGTTGATAGACCATTCCTGAAAAGCACAAATGTTAGACTTACTAGACAAAGATTTTAAATCAGCTATTACGGATACATTCAAAAAATTAATGGAAATCATGTTATGGTTCAAATAGGGAGTGTCCCCCAAGAAAGTTTTGAGGTGAAATGATTGGGTTATGAGAATCTTAACCTAATCAATGCATTAATCTTGTAAAAGGGATTAACTGGGTGGTAGCTGTGGGCAGGTAGAGTGTGGCTGGAAGAGGTAGATCCCTGGGAGCATAGATCCTTCTTCCTCTTCCTCTCCCTTTTCCTCTCCCTCTCTTTCCACCTCTCTCTCTCTCTCTCTCTCTCTCTCTCTCTCTCTCTCTTTCCTGAGCATGACCTGAGCAGCTTTCCTCCTCCACATTCTTCTGCCATGATGTTCTGCCTAACCTCAGGCCCTGAGGAATGGAATTGGCCATCTACAGACTAAGACCTATAAAGTCGTCGTGAGCCACAAAATAAACTTTTCCTCTTCTAGAATGTTCTTGTCATATCTTTTGGTCACCGCAGTGAAAAACTGACTAAAACATCATCGTATATAGTATACATTAGTACGCTACTTCTTTTTCTACAAAAGAAAAAAGTAATAGACAAATAGAGGAACAAAAAGGATATATGATACATAGAAAATAAATAATAAAATGACAAACATAAATAAATCCTACCTTATCACAAGCTATATTAAATATAAATGCATTTAATAATGGGATCAAAAGCAGAGATTGACAAAATGTACTTTTTAATCAAGTGTTTTAATTGTAGATGGACACAACACCTTTATTTTGTTTATTTACTTTTTATGTGGTGCTGAGGATCGAACCCAGTGCATTACACATGCTAGGCAAGTGCTCTACCGCTGAGCTACAACACCAGCCCCGAAAAATGTACTTTTAAAAAAATAGATCCAACTACATGCTGTCTGCAGAGATAAACTTTAAATTCAAAAGTATATACAGGCTTGAGGTAAAGTTATGAAATCATGTAAACCATAACCAATAGAGTGCTGAGGATTATACTAATATCAGAAAAAAACAGACTTTTAAAAAGATTGCTAAAGACAAAGACAATGTTTAGTAATAACAATAATAATTGATCAGGAAAACAATAATTGTAAACTATATGCATCCAAAATAAGTCCCAAAAATACATGTAGAAAGTCTGATAGAATTGAAACAAGAAGTGGAAAATGTAATATTTATAATTGAAGATTTCAGTATTCCACTTTAAATAATGGATAAAGCAACAAGCCAGAAGATCATCAAGGAAATTAAAAAACTTGAACAATGCTTTAAACCAACGGGACTTAACATACCTATGGAACGAACACTCCCCCAAACAGGAGCAGAATAGACAAAATGCTCAGTCACATGTGGAATATCATGCAGGAGAGACTATGATAGCCCCTTTAAAAAGTCTCAATAAAAAGAATTGAAGGTGGGCTGGGATTGTGGCTCAGTGGTAGAGCGCTCACCTAGCAAGTGCGAGGTCCTATGTTCGATCCTCAGCACCACATAAAAATAAATAAATAAAATAAAAGTATTGGGTCCAACAACTTCTAAAAAATAAATGTAAAAAAAAAAAAGAATTGAAGGCTTACAAAATATGTTTTCTGACCACAATGCAATTAAAATTTAAAAATCAACAACAGAAGGACATTTACAATTCATTGGAAATTAAACAACACATTCCTCAAAAGACCAAAGAGTTCAAGAAGAACTCAGAAAGGAAATGAGAATCTATTTTGAGAAAAAAAATTAAAATAAACTTGTACTTCCAGTGTCTCTCCCAGTGCACAATGTCTTGCATGCAGCAAACAATGACACAGTTTTATTGAGCTTGGTGGTTTTCTAATCTGGATCCCTTGCAGAGTTTTTAAAAATTCTGATTGCCCCAGCTGTACCCAAGGCTGGCTAGCTTAACATCTCTGAAGGTGAAGGCCAAGCTTTGGAATTATACAGTTTCCCTGGATGAATTTTCTGTGCAGCCAAGGTT